TCACTGAGGAAGGCTTTCTTATCTCTCCTTGCTATTCTTTGGAACTCTGCATTCACATGGGTATATCTTTTAACTCAGATGACCGTTATATCTACTACTGTGGGCAAGAATCCCTTAGAAGACATGGAGTAGCCATCATAGTCAACAAAAGAGTCTGGAATGCAGTACTTGGATACAATCCTCAAAACGACAGAATGATCTCTGTTCATTTCCAAGGCAAACTGTTCTGTATCATAGTAATCCAAGTCTATGCCCCGACCAGTAATGCTGAAGAAGCTGAAGTTGAATGGCTTTATGAAGACGTACAAGACCTTCTAGAACTAACACCTCAGAAAGATGTCCTTTTCATTATAGGGGACTGAAATGCAAAAATAGTAAGTCAAGAAACACCTGGAGTAACAGGCAAATTTGGCCTTGGAGTACAGAATGAAGCAGGGCAAAGGCTAATAGAGTTTTGCCAAGAGAACGCACTGGTCATAGCAAACACCCTCTTCCATCCCCAGATTGTCAATACCGAAATCAGATTGATTACATTCTTTGCCGCCAAAGATGGAGAAGCTCTATACAGTCTGCAAAAACAAGACCGGGAGCTGACTGTGGCTCAGATCATGAACTCCTTATTGCCAAAATTAGACTTAAATTGAAGAAAGTAGGGGAAATCACTAGACCATTCATGTATGACCTAAATCAAATCCGTTACTATTATACAGTGGAAGTGAGAAACAGATTCAAGGGATTAGATCTGATGAACAGGGTGCCTGAAGAACTATGGACAGAGGTTCGTGACATTGTACAGGAGGCAGGGATCAAGACCATCCCCAAGAAAAAGAAATACAAAAAGGCAAAATAGTTGTCTAAGGAGGCCTTACAAATAGCTGTGAAAAAAAGAGAAGCAAAAGGCAAAGGATAAAAGGAAAGATATACCCATTCATTCAGAATAGATTTGGAATTTCACGGCAGTCACAGCAAAGCGGCACCACACACCGGCCCCTCCGGGCACAGGCTGGGAGCCTGTGAAGCCTGCCCTGAGCCCAGGTTGCTTCCTGGGAAGCATCTCCTAATTCTCAGCTGCCTTGGGCCTCCCTGTCTTATAACTCCCACGGAACGTGGGTTTCAGTAATGGCATAGGCGTGGGAGGAGACTGGGGGAAAATCGCCCAGAAAGAAGGCTCAACACTTCTTAAGTCTCAGTTCCAGAGAATTAGGACCGTCCAAGCCATGTTGTCTGGTCATGGCACAGTTAAATCAGTTATCAATGAGAAAAAGAAGTGTGCGGGTCCCCGGGGTGGAGAGCTGCCGTCCGAGCAGGGCCCCGCTCCCGCCCGGGCGCTGTGGGCACTCTTCCCTGGCAGCTCCGCCCCGCACGCCCCTCGTAATTGCCTCATCGCCCGGGGGCGGCCGTGTTGCTTGGAGCCTGAGGGATTGGTCCAGGTATGTCTCTGAACTGAGCTCTCAATTAGGATTCATACCCACCCTGGGAGAGAGACACAGCGGTGCTTCAGCTGGAGGTGAGGCTCTTTGAGAGACTTGTTCAAATTATGAAAAGTCACATTTCCCCATGTTGGGAATTAGATCCGAGTGTAACAGGCCTTCCAGGCTGGAAACGTGGCTACGTGCTCGGAAAGCCAGGAGGCCGTTGTGGCAGCGTTTCAGCGCGCGCTTGCCAGCACCGGTGCCCTTGCGCTGTAACTTAGACTGGGGCACCAGCCTCCTTAGACTAGTGGAGGGACGCTGTAAGCTGTTCCCCCAGGCTCAGAGAATGCTCATGGCTCATGCAGCAGCCGACAGCCCCATCTGTTCCTGCCCAGGGTCTGCGGCTGATCTGTCATCACCTTGGCTGGGAGTTTGGGGTGGGGTTGGTGGGGAGCTCAGAAAGGTCAGTGGATGACCCCTGACCCCCAGGTCAGCCAAGAGTATCCATGCCTGCTGGCTCCATCTGATACAAAGGCTGTGGAAAGGTGTCCTCTGGTACTGTGTTGAGTGTTAAGCTGTACATTTTCCAACATCCATGTTGCTAACTTGACGAATTTGAGCTGTGGTGAGAGATGTAGAAAGATCTGGGCCTAAGCAAAGATGGCCGTGACCACCGAGGGCATCATCCCGCATCAGCTTATTCAGTAGTGGGCCCAGGCTCTGGCCAGACTGCAGCAGTTCCTGCTGTGAAGTAGGGCAGGCTCGAGGCTGCCCACCCCTCTCTTCCCACAAAGCTCTTAACCTCCTGATTTTGCTTAGAAGGAGTGGCTCACAACATTGCTCTATTATTCTGAGACATTCCAAGTTTCCTCCCAGGGCCCATAGTGCAGGACCGGAGACTCCTCTGACGCCACGGAGGACACAGATCTTCCTTTCTTTATTAGGTTTGTTTTTGGTTGCGCTGGGTCTCCGTTGCTGCGCGGAGGCTCTCTCTAGCTGCGGCGAGTGGGAGCTACTCTTCTTCGTGGCGTGCGGGCTTCTCACCTCTCTCGTTGCGGAGCGTGGGCTCACAGTTGTGGTGCTTAGTTTCCCCCACAGAGCGTGGGACCTTCAGGGACCGGGGATGGAGCCCGCGGCCCCCTCATTGGCAGGCAGGTTCTTAACCACTGGACCCCCGGGGAGGTCCAGACGTCTGTCTTTCTAGGCATCTTTCTAGGAAGGCCTAGATACCCAGCTAGTGGGTTTCCTGGGGAATGAGGGCTCCAAGCCACTTTATCCAGCCTGGCATCACAGGACACACGGACCGTCGTGCTATTGGCATCTGTTTCCTGCGGGCTGACTTTGTGCCAGGCTACACAGCCTACCTGCCTTCCATGCATAGCTCTCACACCAACCCTCTGAGGGTGGTAACCATTATCACCCCCAGTTGACAGATGAAGAAACTGCAGTTTAGTCAAGTCAAGAAACTGGCCCCAGCTCACACAGTAAGTGATGGGGCTGTGATTTGATTCCAAGTTGACCTCACCACCCACACTTCCAGTGAGCAAGCCCTGCTGTCGTGTCAGACATACCCCATCTTTCCCCTTTCTCTTGTCAAGGTCTTGGTTCTCCGCCAAGTTTACTGGCCTGTCATCCTGGTGAACTTGTGTCTGTCACTGTGATATGGGGCCAGTGCATCTGTGTGTCACTTCCCAGGCAATGTTTGTATTCAGACCAGAGTTGTCTGGCAAAGGCTCCATGGAAAGGAATACAATGGGAGACGTTTAATTACTTCCATTGCTCACCAGCAGTCCGCCTGTACACAAGTGCCTGGCCCATGTTCCTCATGAAAATTCACAGGAACCAGGGCAAGGGAAAGAACCGCTGAGGACGTGTCAGGAGATGAGGGAGAAGCCAGGGACCACATATCATGGACCAGTGCTGGCTGCACTGCCAAGGAGATCAGGACCATGGACAGGTCGCCTGCCCTTCCCGGGCCTCTGCTTGCCTGCCCAGCAGACTAAACTCATCACCATCACCATCATTGAGTCCTTCCTGTGTTAGGGCGGGAGGTACGGTCAGGAACAGGCAAACACGGATCTGCCTCATAAGCTTGAACTCAGACTCTTTCTTCATGTGGTGGAAGGGTCAGTGGGTTTTAAGCTCTCTTGTTAGGAAGAACCCCCTTTTACACCAAAGGAAACGCCTATAGAAAATTCCAGCTCAGGATGGAGCATAGACATCCTCAGATTGGAGTGAGAGAGGAAGTTCCCTGTGGATGGACTCGGTGTTCAAATCTGCCCTCCTGCTGAAAGGGCTCTTCCCCCAGACTAGAGACGCATTCACTTTGAGATGTCCAGTTGTGCCGGGCCTTGGTTAGTTACATTGTGCTCTAAAGATGCTCCCTTGCAGGATCCAGTTAAAGATCACTATTCAGCCCATTGAAGTGGGTGAGGAAACACATCTGGTTGCCTAGACCTTGTCTGCTGCAGAGTTCAAGGCCAGTCGCCCTCAGGGTTATGGGGATGTTCGGTTGTCCAGGCACCCATGGGGATCTCTGGGCACAGCCTGCCTTACTCAGACTCACAGACTCCCGGGGTGGACGATGGACCCGAAGCCCCTCCCTCTCAATCGTCAGGCCTCCAGCCCCACGGTGCCCAGTTTTTTCCCTTCCTCCCTGCTCGTGGGCAAGAGAAACCTTGTTCTCCTGTTTTCTAAGGGCAGTGCCACACCATTTTGAACTCTATGGGTTGGGCTGCAAGACTCTTCAGTTCTTTTTTTTCTTTCTGTGAGCATTTCAGAAGATGTAGCCCTATTCACCCAAACCCTTCCCTCTGCTTTCCAGGGCCCTCACCTACCACACTCTAGCTTCTTTGGTCAGCGGGAACCAGTGTCCTCATCAGGGGTCTGTGAACTGGGAGATCAAGTGAGGGGTGTCCATGCCTGAGTTCTACGGATTATACCATGAACCCACAGATACTGCACTAAAATTCGAGTCTGTGTTTGTGCATCTGGGGAAGTGGAAGTCCCACAGTCTTCATCAAAGACACTTACAAAAGGCCCAAGACTCCTGCTCTAGGGCCTCGGTGCATCCTCTCCATTGTACATGGTCTTTAAGCATCCAAGTAGCCTCAGCATCTTGGCCCAGAAGCCTCATTTCAGACGGGGACACCTGACACCCCAGACAGGGGAGACAGACGGCCGAGGCCACGCTGAGGGCACGAGGATTCAGTCACCCTCCTCACAGTCTGGCCTTCCTTCTGCAGCCCCAGCACGCAGAGCCTTGGGAGAGACTCAGGCCACCAGTGGGAGCAGAGCTGGTGCTGCTTACTTAGACTACTTCAGTTAAAATTTTGAAGTATTTGTAAATCATTTGTTAAAAAGTTGTATCAAAAAAAATTATCCTCAAGAGATCCTCAAGAAGATTTAGGGTCATTAACAAAGATACTTTCATTCTATCTCTTGCTGTCATAGCAAATTAGCTCAAATTTCATAACACAGGAATGCCCCAGCCTCACATCAAAGTGACAGACGCAAGTTTGCCAGCATGACAGGCCAGTGACTTGGCTGAGAACAAAGACCTTGACAAGACAAAGGGCTTGAATCCGAGTCTCCCTGGGCTAGAGCCAAAGTGTCAGCAGGGCTCTGCTTCTTCTGGAGTCTGTGGAGGAGAGTCTATTTCCTCCCCAGCTTCCAGAAAACACCCACATCCCTTGGCTCACGGCCCCTTCCATCCTCAAAGCCAGAAATGTTGCATCCCTGGCTGTTGTTCCATAGTCACAAGTCCCTCTGACCGAACCTGGAGAAAGGTCTCTGCTTTTCAGGACCAGGGTCATTAGAGGGAGCCCACCCCGGTAATGCAGGACAGCCTGCCTGTCTCAAGATCCTTGATCTTAATCACATCTGCATGCCCCTTTTAACACCTCAGGAAACACAGTCACAGATTCCTGAGATAAGGATTGAGATGTTGACATCGTTGGGGTCGCTATTCTGCCTCTCAAAGCATGGTTCACAAAAGGTGCTTTCCGTTATACTGAAGAGGCCAGCAGATTTTTCTCTAAAAGGCCAGATAGTAAATGTTACAGCTTCTTAGGCAGCGTGGTCTCTGTTGTAGCTGCTCTGCTCCGCTATTGAGGAGCAAAAGCAGTGCCAGATAAAATGCAAATGAGTGGCAGTGGCTATGTTCCAATAAAGCTTTATTAATAAGGACAGATATGTAGATTCAGTCCATGGCTGTCATTTACAGACCCCTCCTCTATTGGATTCACCAGACACCATCCAAGAGAACTTCCAGTCTGCCCTGAGCCGTGGGGCCAAAGGGACAAATAAGCTATTTTCTTGGCCTGGGAAGGGCCCTTGCAGTCTGATGGGGATGAAGCAATGTTAGTGGAAGTCAGGAGACTGACTGGTCCTTGAGGCGAGGGACCAAGGCTACAGGTGCCTCTCAGAAGAAGTGACCAGGGCTTCTGGGAAGGACTTGCCCAGATTCCACTGAAGAACAAAGCTGGGAGGTCCTGGCCTGAGGAGCCAGGCTCACATGTTTGAAGTTTGTGGTTTGACTGTCTGTACCCTGGGCGATTGCACTCTGGTTAGGAGAATGAGCCGAGTAGCTCTTACAGACCTGGGATTCAAAGCTATGTGACCTTGGACAGGGGTGTCAGCTTCCTTGGCTCCGAGAGGGAGACTAGCAAGGTGATTAGTGGGATCACGTGTAAAGCATGTTTGTTGAATCAAGAGTTCTCCCTAAAGAAGAACCACTATTGTAATTAACTTCTGAGTTTTCCAGAATGCACTGAGAAAGCTGACCGCCGCAGCCCCATGTCTGATTTGCAAGCAGTCACAAAGGATATAAAGCCAATGCCTTGCCCGCTGGCAATTATGATGCTATTAATAGCAGTACTAGTCATGCTAAAACAGGAGCAAGGGTAATGGTTCCTACCCTTTAATTAACACTGCTTATTTGCCAAGAACTGTGCTGAGATGTTCACAAGGGTGATCTCACTTGGTCAGCTCCACAAAGCTGGGGGCAGAGGCCCGTGATTAGCGACATTTTACAAAGGTGCCGAGGAGGCTCAGAGAAGACGAGGGACTTGCCTAAGATCACACAGCGGCCAAGGTTGGAGGTGGGACTCAAACCCAAGTTTATCTAACATCAGAGACTGTGTTCTTCCCCGGGCCCTGGCAGCCCAAGGATAACCGACTCTTTCTTGTGCCTCCTCCTAGTGTCCAGACAGCAGTGGACTGCGGCGGCGGCAGTGGCAGAAAGGAGATGTAAGTGAGCCCCGAATAGAATGGAGCCAGTGACGCTGAAGCCAGAGATGGGCCCCTGGCTGTGTCCAGCTTGCAGAAGGAGCACACACACCCACCTGGACAGTCACCGCAGTGTCCACAAGTGCTCTGACTCCATGCTCATAGCATACAGCATTGGGGACATGTTACTGAATGGTAGACTTCTCGTAGACAAAGAGAAGCCTCCAACTTCCCACACCGCTGTCCTCAGACTCCATCCGAAGGACAGACGTCAGTTGCCTGAAGAGTTTTTAGACTGACACTTGCGCCCTGCACGTTCTGGTCCTGACTTACCCTCCACTTGGGACTCCTCTTCCCGTATCTCCCGTGCCCTCCGTACCTGCATGGGCACGAGTCCCTCCACCTGACGCTCCCTTCTCCAGGCCCGTGTGGCCAAGCTCCAACCTTCAAAGAGGATGGAGCCCAACAGCCACCACTGCGTTCCTTCCCTATGCCTCCAAGAAACAAATCGGGGCTCCCTCTTTGTCCTACTTAGAACCCATCGTCTGTCTTCATCTGTGGCACTGATAGTTTTCTTTTTGATGTTACAGTTATTTATATAGATGTTTACTCTGCTAAAATGGGGTCCTGTGGACAGGGTCAATGTTGAGTTCATGTTTATAGCTCCTTCCCATGGCATCGAGTTATTCTATAAACAAACAAAATTTGTGAATATATTTATTATATATCATAAATGAGTGAATATATCAACCAGAAAGTGAAATAATCATTCAATACCCACATCAGTGGCAGGCTCCCACAGGCCTCTCCCTGTGCTGCTTTCAGAAATAGGGGGTGTACAATTAAGTCTCTGTCCACAGAGACATTCCAGCTAAGGTAGGCAAGCAGTTAAGACCTTCACAACTGATAGATTCCATGAACATATCATTTGGTCTGAAATCCAATGCCAAATTTTACTCCAAAATTGGAAGATACCTTGGCATCTATATTAGAGTATTTATCTTCCCAAGGAAGAGCAATGATTTTTAACATGGGCATTGGAATTGGAGGGACCAGAGTTTGCATCCCAGCTTCATCACTGACTAACTGGGTTACCTTGGTTAAGACCCACACCCCCCAGTGTGGCCTCCCCAGATCCCATTACTCTCATCTATGTAACAGGTACAGTGCTGGCTCCCAACTCTCAGGGATAGTATTGTGAGCACTGGTTAAAGTGATGCATGTTCAGCACTTAGCACCACGCCTGGCTCATGCTAAAGGGTGAATATCTAGTTATTACTGTTACTGTGGTTGTCATTGTGTTGACAGCATCTTGCATTCTGGTTCTAGAGATAACGTCTCCACCCTCAGCTCCCAGCCGGAAGGCAGTCTGCAGTCTTGGTTGAGTTGTACTCTGTCTCTGGCCACAGACACCGCAAGGACCCCCTCTCGACAGTCAGCCGTCAGCAGCCGTATCCTCAGCCCCAGGTAAGAGTATCGCCTGCTGCCTCTGGGTCACAGGCTTCCCAGGTTGCTGTTTAAGTCTTCCATTTCCTGTGTCCTAGACAGGGACACGCATGGTCCAGTTTGAGGTATGACCCTGCCACTTCTTAGCTGTGTGACTTAAGGCAGGTCAGTTACCCTCTCTGAGCCTTCACTTCCTCCTCTGTGAAACAGGAAGTATAATTGTATTTACGGCCCCAAACAGTCAAAATGAGGAGGATCTAATACAGCCCACCCAATGCATGGCTTTCCAGATGATTTCAAATAGCACAGGGTGAGCATTTTTAAAAATAGCTGTAGATTTACTATGTTTGTTTTCCATCTAAGGCAAGTCCTACTAATTTTCCATTTATAGATAGTTTTGTATTTAAATTTTTCTTTATAAACATGTTTACTGAAGTTTTTTGGTTTCGTTTGTTTCTTTTAATGGGAAGTCTGTATAAAGACAGTTAGGCTGGATGATGTTTTCCTTGGAAATCTCAGCTTTCTTTGAATGTCAGAATTTTATATTTTGTTTCCTACCATGGAAGGAGACAAATTCAGTCACGCCTTGAGATGGGACCCTCACAAGTCTATAGGATTGCCAATAATAATTTGCTCCAACAAATAGGCCCCAGGCCTCAGCCTCAGCTGCAGGACTTAAATCTGTCTTCCCTCTTGCTTTCCAGTTTCATCCCTCTCAGCTCATTTGGTTTTCCTGTTCAAGGGCAGCCCTCTTGTAATGAGGAGCCAATGGCCATAAATCAGAAATTATGGATTAAACAGATGCGTAATTAAGATGAAATGCACACTGCTTGTGTGATAACAGAAGAGCCGATGTGATAAGATAGAAAAATCACAGACTAATGGAGCAGACCCAGACGAGTCCTCGCTGACTTGAAACGTGTTTGCTCTGAAGCAGGAGGCTGTCTTTACGAAAAAAAGGGGGTGGGAGTTCATGCCAAGCTTTCGGGCATGTTCAGCAAATGGCAAATGTCTGCTGATAATCTTAGGCTGAAAGATTTGATGTTGAAAATATCAAAGGGAGGCCCTGAGAATGGGGCGCATCGGGGGAGTTAATTAAAGCAAGATTATCTGATTACCACTCTTAATTAAAAACAAAGACCTGTGTGGAGAAAGAGCCATGTCCTCAGCGAACTCTGAATGCTGAGGACTTTTTCTTTCCTGATAACTAAATAACTTCTGGTCTCCCCGATCAGCCAGTGTATCAGGCAGCAGAGGCTGGAGCTGGAAGTGCAAGCACATTAACATAATATCCAAAAGTTTCATAATTATATTAGGCGCATGACAAGGAGTTACACCTGAGCTGAATGGGAGATGAGCGGCTGCAGTGATTTCCGTACGTGGACTGAAGTCAGAGCATCTGGCTTCCAATCCCAGGGCTGCTCCTCTGCAGCTATAAGACGGGGCAAAGGTTTTGTTTGGGTTTTGTGGGGGGTTTTTTTGATAATTTTTAATGCAGTGTAGTTGATTTACAGCGTTGTGTTAGTTTCTGCTATAGAGCAAAGTGAATCAGTTATCTGTATACATATGCATGTATCCACTCTTTTTTAGATTACTTTCCTGTATAGATCATTGCAGACTATTGAGCAGAGTTCCCTGTGCTAGACAGCAGGTCCTTATTACTTATCTGTTTAGTATATAATAGTGTGTATACGGGGCTGCCCTGGTGGCTCAGTGGGAAAGAATCCGCCTGCTGATGCAGGAGAATTGGATTCGATCCCTGGGTTGGGAAGATCCCCTAGAGAAAGACATGGCAACCCACTCCAGTATTCTTGCCTGGGAAATCCCATGGACAGAGGACCGTCGAGGGTTACAAGCCGTGGGGTGGCAAAAGACTCGGACACAACTGAGTGACTAAAAAACAGCTGTGTGTATACGTCAGTTTCAGTTTCCCAGTTTATCCCTTTCTCCCTTCCCCCATTAGTAACCGTAAATTTGGGGCAAGTTGCTTAACTTCCCATGTTGTCTTGTGAGTAAACCATCCTCAGGGTTAACGAGAAGAGGCACTCAGAGCCCAGCTCCTGGTCTCCCCAATCAGCCAGTGTATCAGGCAGCAGAGGCTGGAGCTGGAAGTGCAAGCACATTAACATAATATCCAAAAGTTTCATAATTATATTAGGCGCATGACAAGGAGTTACACCTGAGCTGAATGGGAGATGAGCGGCTGCAGTGATTTCCGTACGTGGACTGAAGTCAGAGCATCTGGCTTCCAATCCCAGGGCTGCTCCTCTGCAGCTATAAGACGGGGCAAAGGTTTTGTTTGGGTTTTGTGTGGGTTTTTTTGATAATTTTTAATGCAGTGTAGTTGATTTACAGCGTTGTGTTAGTTTCTGCTATAGAGCAAAGTGAATCAGTTATCCGTATACATATGCATGTATCCACTCTTTTTTAGATTACTTTCCTGTATAGATCATTGCAGACTATTGAGCAGAGTTCCCTGTGCTAGACAGCAGGTCCTTATTACTTATCTGTTTAGTATATAATAGTGTGTATACGGGGCTGCCCTGGTGGCTCAGTGGGAAAGAATCCGCCTGCTGATGCAGGAGAATTGGATTCGATCCCTGGGTTGGGAAGATCCCCTAGACATGGCAACCCACTCCAGTATTCTTGCCTGGGAAATCCCATGGACAGAGGACCGTCGAGGGTTACAAGCCATGGGGTGGCAAAAGATTCGGACACAACTGAGTGACTAAAAAACAGCTGTGTGTATACGTCAGTTTCAGTTTCCCAGTTTATCCCTTTCTCCCTTCCCCCATTAGTAACCGTAAATTTGGGGCAAGTTGCTTAACTTCCCATGTTGTCTTGTGAGTAAACCATCCTCAGGGTTAACGAGAAGAGGCACTCAGAGCCCAGCTCCTAGAAAGAGCTCCAGAAAACCAGCTGCTTTCCTGGTGTTGGTATTTGATGCCCAGAGTAACCCCGGGGAACTGATGCCATCATCTCCATGCTGCATAAGAAGGATCTGAGGCCCAGAGGTTCAGGAACAACTGACTGAGACAAACTCGGCCACACCCCAGCTCCTGTAGCTTCGCCCCGGGCGGCACCTCCAGGCAGCCCTCGCTAGACCCCAGCCCCCCTTTCCTGGCGCGCTGCCTTCCAAGTCCTCAGGCGGAGGGGTCTGCACCAAGGACAGCGGTGCAGCTGGAGGCAAGAAAGGACCAGAAGCCCCTCGTCAATTTTCCTCATGTTGTGTCCCTCTGGCTGGCACACAGATGGTGCTCCGTAAATGTTTGTTGAATGAATAACCGGCTATAACAGCAACACTTGAGCAGAAACGCTAACTGTGCTTGGCCACAGCTCAGCTTTGTCATTCAGAGAGGGCCAGTAATTTGCTCCATGTCATCAGCAGGGGAGCAAAAGAGCCAGGATTTGGACTCTGGTTTAAATCCTTCCAAAGCCTGTGTTGTGTCTGCCATGCTTCCATGACTCCGACTTTTATCCAGGTGAATCACTCACCTGGCAAAGTTTATTGGCAAAGAGCTGGCCTGTTATTAATACTCAAACTATATAAGGGTCAGTATTCAACATCCATCCAAATGATATTTATTAAGTGCCTACTGAGTGACAGATTCCATGGCGTTAAGCCTTGAAAATTTTGAGCCTTTATTAACCTATTAACCTATAAACATAGTCTTTGGAGTTTAAAGATTCTAGAACTTCTGAGTTAGAAGGGACCATTAGATTATTTATTATTAGTCCAATCCTCTCGTTATATAAATGGGAAAAATTGAGGTCTGCAGAAGGAACTATTTTACCAAAGCTTATAGTAAAGACTGACCCAGAGTTCAGGTGCCTTGACATCCAGCTTTATAATCTCTAAATACTTCTCCCTTTTATTAGAATATAACTGAGAAGGCTACAGTCCTCTTGCTCACCACCCCAACCTCACCTCCCTTCTGAAAGGTATCCACTGTCTTCAGTTTGGTGTGTACCTTCCACGTCTTTCTCTATGTATTTATAAATACACATGTACTTGTAGCAAATACATAGCATATTTGTGGGCTTTTAAAACACATAAGTGATACAATGCTACATTATGTATATGTACCTGTGTGTGTGTGTGTGTGTGTCTGTGTGTGAAGCCATTTCAGTCGTGTCCAACTCTGTGTGACCCTTTGAACTGTAGCCCACCAGGCCCTGTGTCCATAGGATTCTCTAGGCAAGAATACTGAAGCGGGTTGCCATGCCCTAAATGTATGTATCTAAATTCTCAAAGTGCTTCTTTCTTTCCCTCAATGGTGTACTTTAGAGATCTCACCCTGTCAGTTCACATAAGTCTATCTCATTCTTTTAAACTCCTGCAGAACATCTTAAGATGATGCCATGGATTTATTACACTGTACTCTTGTTTCACTTTCAGTTGATTTCAGGATATTTGCTACTAACCTGTTGTGTGTGTGCTTAGTCACGTCCAACTCTTTGTGAGCCCGTGGACCGTAGCCCGCCAGTCTCCTCTGTCCATGGAAGTTTCCAGGCAAGAATACTGGAGCAGGTTGCCAGTTCCTCCTCCACAGGATCTTCCTAACCCAGGGATAGAACCCTCCTCTCTTTCATCTCCTGAATTGACAGGCAGATTCTTTGTCACTTAGCCACCTGGGAAGCCCTGTTAAACTGTTAGCCTTTAAACACACACACACATACGTTTGCACAGGGCAAATGCTTCTCTGCGTCAGAGGGAATCTGCATTTTAAACTTGACCAGATGCCACCAGGTCATCTGGGCTCCCTCTGTGCTGAGGAGGTGGAGGCGGGTTATAGTACAACGGGAACTCTGGTACGCACCCCCATGTGACCTGGCCTGTCACAGGGCTCAACAAACGAGTCTCTGGGACATTTCCAAATTTGACTGAAAAAGAAGGTCACTCTAAAATCAGAAGAGAGGGAGAACGCAGTCTTCTGCCAAAAAAATAAAAGCATTCCTTGTATTATTTATAAGAGGACGTCAACTCAAGAGAAATACGCCTAAAGCTTGATGATTTACAA